CTGAAGGACAAAGTGGTACTACTGGTCACCCATCAGCTCCAGTTCATCCGAAACGCCCACAAAATACTTGTGCTCAAAGACGGGAAGACACAGGCGCTGGGAAATTACCCGCAATTAGTGAACGCCGGCATTGATTTCATCAAAATGAGTGGCGACGAGAAGGAAGAGAAGAAGGAGGGCGGCGCCGACGTGGCCAGGAGTGGGTCGGTCAAGGGTCAGAGCTCTCGCGTGGGTCGCGCTCAGTCGGTACAGTCGGCGGCGTCTGTCGAGGACGAGGAGCTCCAGGCCTACATCGAGGGAGAAAAGGCTCAAATCCAAAGAGGCGAACAACAGAGGATGGGATCCGTGAAGGCGAAGATCTATTGGCTGTACGTGAAGAGCGGCGGCGGCTTCTTCCTCCTCACGATCCTCATCTGCTCCAACATTTTGACGCAATTCCTGTTCAATGGCAGCGATTACTTCCTGTCCCTCTGGACCGATAAGGAGCGCAATGAGCCCAACCTATACGACTGGGTGAAGGAGATGGACAGAAACCATATGATCATCACATTTGCCGTACTCGTGATCGCACTGTTCCTGTTGTCGCTCGTGAGGACCACCGTATTCTTCACGATATGCATGCGCTCATCCATTAGACTCCACAACCAGCTGTTTGAGAGCGTAATCCGGGCGCCCATCTACTTCTTCGACAACAACCCCATCGGTGTACTACTGAACCGGTGTTCCCGCGATATGGGTCTCATCGACGATATGGTGCCCTCCACTGCCTTCGACGCCGTCGAGATCTTCGTGCAACTGTTGGGTGTGATCATAATGAACGCCATTATCATGTATTGGGTGGTTGTGCCCACCGTTGTGCTCATCTTCTTCTTCTACTTCCTGCGCGTGTATTACCTGACGAGCGCCCGGAGTGTCAAACGGCTGGAGGGCATCACCAGGAGTCCCGTCTTCTCGCACTTATCCAACACACTGTACGGTCTGTCGACTGTCCGGGCGTTTGGCGCTCAGCAGACCTTCGAGAAGAAGTTCGACGACTATCAGGACAGTCACACCGCCGCCTGGTTTCTCTTCATATCGTCCACCCGTTGGTTCGGCATTGTATTGGACTGGTTGTGCTGGATATACCTGATGGCCGTCACCCTCGTCATGACCTTCATGTACGACAACAGGGACTTGACGTCCAGTGCCATCGGTTTGGCCGTCTCGTCGGCCATCTCCCTGAGCGGTATGTTTCAGTGGGGGGTCCGCCAGTCGGCCGAACTCGAGAGTCAAATGACTTCCGTCGAGAGGGTCGACGAGTACAGTCACCTGAAGCCTGAGCCGAACCTGGAGTCCACGCCCGACGGCAAGAGACCGCCCAACGACTGGCCCGACAAAGCGGTCATCGACTTCAACGACGTGAGCCTCCAGTACAACCCGGAGGACCCGCCGGTGCTCAAGAATCTGGTCTTTTCCGTGCAAAGCAAGGAGAAGGTGGGAATCGTGGGCCGCACCGGAGCTGGCAAATCGTCGATGATATCGGCGCTCTTCCGTATGTCTCCGCCCACGGGAGACATCATTATTGACGGCCTCAACACCTCCACCATAAGTCTCCGCGATTTGCGTAATAAGCTGTCGATCATCCCTCAGGACCCGGTGCTCTTTGCCGGCTCCGTCCGACGCAATATCGACCCCTTCAACAATCACACCGACAAACGCTTGTGGGAAGTGCTGGAAGAGGTGCGCCTCAAAGACGCCGTCATAGACATGGCTGGAGGACTGGACGCCGACATCTCGGAAGGCGGCAGTAATTTTAGTGTCGGTCAGCGGCAGCTCATATGCCTGGCCCGGGCTATACTCAAGCAGAATAGGATCCTGGTGCTAGACGAGGCCACGGCTAATGTCGACCCCACGTATGCTAGCATTTGCTGTATTAATAGTATTAATAGTCGTATAATCATAAAACAGGAAATGTTTTTTATCGGGGAAAACACGCTATTTATTTAGCAAATCATTTAACGAGACTTTTAATGTGTTTTTCATAATAACATATTTGATTAGAATTGATTTTCACTTTCCATAAAACAATACAGTTGTAGATAAAGTGATAAAAAGACAAATAGTATAAAGTTATTGTTAGTAACATCTAATAGTATTACAGAATTAGTATAATAATTACTGAATATTTTTTATGTCTTTATTACTGATGAATACTCCGATAAGACTTTATTATAAGACTCAGTGTCTCTGATTTTTATATACGAATATATAAAACATTAACTCATAGTTTATCAATATTTTATATAATAATTATTACTTGTACTACAATTGAGATACGATGTGCTGATACATTAAATAGAAAGTGTCCGTATATAGTTTATATAGTTTATGGCAGCTATTAACAAGTGTATAAATATATTTGTGTAAATGTGTAGATTAGGCAAACTAATCATGTTCAATAATTATTTAGAGCTTATTTATAGTAATAGTGCTTAATATGTAAGTCATTAACTAATTTATATGATTTGTAACGATAGGACGGATTCACTAATACAGCAGACAATACGGGATAAGTTCGCCGACTGCACGGTAATGACAATAGCGCACAGACTGCACACAATCATGGACTCGGACAGAGTACTGGTGCTCGACGCCGGTCGGGTCATTGAGTTCGATGAGCCACACCTACTCCTGCAGAACGAGAGCGGACTGTTCGCCTCAATGGTCCGGATGACCGGCAAAGGCATGGCTCAAAATCTGAAAGAAATGGCCAAAATAGCTTACGATAACAGGAGGAATGAGTCGCCTTTCCATCGGTTCCAGATCTCCGATATTAAGAGTATTGTGAGCAAAGAGGTGCCCAAACACGAGAACATCATCGAGAGTACGGAGATGGATGAGGACAGGGATGCCGGCGTCGAAATGGGATCCGATGAGAGGACTGATAGCGAGGAAAGGGATGACGAGAGTGGCAGTGGAGGGGAAGCGAAGACAGACTTGTGAAGACCAAAAACATTATTAATAATACATCGCAACACATAAGAGCATTATTTTTATAACAAAATATATAATAAAAGCTGTGAAAACGAGATGAAATTTTTTGTGTTTTTTAAAGAAATTGTTTCTTAAATCCAAGAGACGTGAACATCTCCTCGTCTTGTATACCATGGCATCCATTATCTTCCCTAAGCATTGGATAAGAGTTCATATATCAAACAGAAAGAAAGCAGTTTTTATTATTAAAACAAATTTTCATTAAATACGTAATACAGTAATAAGAGCATTAACTCATCCTCGGTGGGCACCGGTAGTATTCTATCGAAACCACGCTTTCCCGTTAGATAATACGTGGGCTGTTTGCCACGGCCTGGGAGGCCAACAAAAATTGGATCAAATATATTGTTTTTTATTAAATTTCGTTTTTAAATTTACATTTATTTTTAAATGTTGTATGTGTGGGGTAGGCATGGGGGCGGTTAGGCTCTTAACTCATTAGTGGTTTTTAATGATCATTCAGTACTTTTTCAGTGCTTTTTATTAAATTTCGTTTTTAAATTTACATTTATTTTTAAATGTTGTATGTGTGGGGTAGGCATGGGGGCGGTTAGGCTCTTAACTCATTAGTGGTTTTTAATGATCATTCAGTACTTTTTCAGTGCTTTTAATAACACATAATTTTAAACCTTTAAGCTAACAGTAATTGTGTGCATGTTTTTTAGTATTATGAACATGTAAACTCCTGCTGTAAACCAATATGTTAAATTATTAATTTTGTTTTTTAATATTAATAGAGTCATTTATTCACGATTTTGCATTCAATGTTGTTTGTATACAAAATATATGATAGATAAAATGTTTTGCTACAAACTATGTTATTTAATAATAAAAAAATAAAGTAATTTAAATTTTTTCCAAAGAATATCTTATTTACCGTAAAATACTTTCCCATCAACTCATGCATTATAAATTGAGTAATAACAAAAATGAATTGTTATTACTGTGTGTACTGTATATCATAAACCGAAAACATGTGAATGAATGAACTTTGAAAGTGAAAAATGTATATTTTGGCGCAAAATATTCGTGAATATATGAGTTTGCATTACAAGAATAATTGAAAACCATATATCAAAATATATCATTGAATAGGAAATTAACAAACCTTTTAGTGTTATCTCTCCTCTGTATTCAATAATATAGTCTCCGCTCCTCTTAAGCCTTTCTTCAGTGGCTTTGCTTATGTGTATGCGATAGGGTTGGCTCCTAAATCACAGTTCATTGCAATCATGAAAATACAAGAATATTCTGTATATATATATATTCTGTCACTTGTTTCTCAACTGATGTAAACATTTAAGATAATAGGATAAGCAACAACAAAAAATGTAAAACAAATTATGATTGCTAAGTTTTTCCGATGAAAGGATCTATTTTTGAAACTTTGTTGTCTTTTTTGAATTATGTATAAAATATTTCACTCAACAAAATATGTATTTTTGTATTTTATTTGAAACATACGTTGTCTCCAATCTCGAGGCTATGTTAACGGTGTCGCCAAACAGACAATATCTGGGGTTAGTATTGCCCACAACTCCACCGACTACTGGCCCTGCGATACAGTATGGGTTTGGGAGAGAAAAATGAAAAGAAAAGAAAGAATTTGTTGAGAAATATAAAGAAATCAAAAAATCAATAATACTTTATCGCGAAAAACACAATTGCTTTCTATAAACAGAATCGGAATAATTTCGGAGAGAATATTGAATTATATTATAAAACAAATTTATATTTACATAACAAATGGCAAAACAAATTGTCGGACACTATTCGTGCGACTATTTTCGGTAACAAATGTAACTGTTTTTATGTTTTGGTTTTTGTTTATTTATTTCTTATGTGTTTTATTTCTATTGAAGAGCATTAGTATTACAAACCCGTATGTATTCCGCATCTCAATCTGAGCGGAATGGTAGGCATGTGTCTCATCTTAAATTGCAAGCAAAAGTGCAGGATTTCCAGTGCCATCGACGCTATCTGTTCCGAGTGATCCTCATTTCGATTGGGAATACCTGTCCACAGATTATATAAATAGACATAATTTATATTTTTAGCTAATTTCCTACTTAAGAGTTAGAGTCTGCTATTCTATTATTCAGTATTTATAGTAATATAATTTAAGTAGTAATTAATTAAGATTTATAAGATTATTTTCATATAAAATAAAATTTGTTAACTTTAAAATTTAATACGCATACATTAATTACTTAGGAATTTACTTAAGTAGCTTAAACTTTTAATTTTAAATTTATATTTAAAGGATAGCTGGATAAAAATATAGGTGGACTTATAATTGTGCAATTACTACAAATTAGAGAAATTCAAAGACATGTCTCTCGTGTCAAGGAATTAGAGAATTTATTGTACACTAAATAGTGTTTCAAAAGTCTTAACCATTAGATTCTACTTATCGCTAATAAGGAGGGACTGAATTGACTGACACTAGAGATAATTGTTTCATAAGTATACGGCAGTCGACTATAACTGAGAATTCATTGGAAATCTCTAAACCATTGGAGATGGTGTGACACAACTCACTGTAAATAATTTGTCACATAACAAAACCTTTATTTCTAATCCATGCTATCAATGCTTTTTCACTTAATATAATAGACTTCCACTTAAACGAAAAAAACCAAATAAGGAGAAAATAAAACAAGAATATATTTGTACACTAATAAGAAATCCTCTAAACGAGTGGCTGTTCACGTGTATAGCCATTCATATACCGTATATACAAAATAGTACTGTAATATGATTGTCAATATTTAGTCGACAATTACCGGACACAACCATATAGGCGTCGCCAATGGTTTCAATCTTATAGACGTCGAAATTCTGTACGATTTCGTCGAAAGCTATGTAGAGATCGTTTAGTATTGTTATGACTTCCAAAGGCTATTGTGAATTGAATACGAAATATGCAATCAATATAGGAATTTTAAATTAAAATATTTGTGAACACAATATTTTACAAACAAATACCTCACTGAACGAGGCGATAGTGGTAAAGCCAATAATATCGCTGAAAAATATGGTCACATTGTCATACTTCTCAGGTAACACTTGTCGCCCATTTCGCAAATTATTAGCTACGGAACTGGTAGGCCAAAAATAATTAAAAACAATTCAACACCAGTTAAAATACCTCTAAACAAATGGAGTACAGGGTATACCACATGGAGAGACAACAAAATGCATAAACAATTGAATAATTCATATGAATATCTGTTTGCATGAATACATGGGAAGCATTCTATAGAGAAGTGTCTCAGTCTTCCTCCTTTCCTCCTCCAGACATATTGTCCTCTCTTTCACCAAATCCTCCAAATTGTTGGCGTATTTCTCGATCTTCACTAACATGGAGTCCACAATACTTTTATCTCTAATGAATACATAGTTTCTAATAAATAATAATTTTCATAAAGAATTCATATTTTTATTTTATATGATTTGGGCGTCGCTTTGCAAACGCGAGTCTTAGTTAATAGATTGTGATTAAATTGTTTGAGACGACAGTGCCTTTCATTTCATTTTGTATATAATTGTATAAAACTTTTTAAAATCATTTGCGAAAGCGTAATGAATTTTTTCGTGTTCATTAATTCAATTTAAGGGCTCGTTTTGGCTAATTTTTAGAGTAATTATCTATTTTTAGTCGTAAGTTAAATATAGAAGTTTCTACATTTTATTCGCTTATATTAACGCTTACTATACATGCAATCGATAGATACCTCTCACCCAAGAACTTAACGAACTCATCGGAAATCCTATTAAACGTAGGCCTGACCTCTGGCCTTTCCTGCCAACACCTGTCCACTAATTGTATGATATCTTTGGGTACGCTATCGCTGAGACCGTCTAATTGGGGTCTGAATGCAGAATCGGACGACTCGCTCATAATCCTGTTGATGATATCCATTGTGGACAAGTGTTTGGCGAACGTCGAGTAGGGTTTGTCTCTGACGAGTATTTCCTGCATAATGATAGCAAAGCTGTAGACGTCTGCCTCTTGAGAGCCGCTCCAGAAAAGGTGGTTATTTCGGAGCAATTCCGGCGCAAACCACAGCAACTCATTGGCGTCGACCGTGTCGTCCATCTCCAGTGACTGTAATTCGCGAAATCTATTTAAACCAAAGTTTGTTACCTTCAATAGCCAGCGGCTGTCGATCACACAGTTCTCGGAGTTTAGGTATCCGTGCGATTGGGCGGCCGAGTTGTGCAGGTATTTCATCCCCTTTTCAAACAAAGTTATTATCAGTGACATCAACAACTCATACAATAACCACTCAATTGAATTCCCATCCAGAAAACGTGGACTCAACTCTGTGTAATGAGTGCAATGCCAAAGGGTGTCCAACTGAATATATTTTTGGAGGAAAAAGTCGGGCATTGTAAAGTGACAGTTGATTACAGTCTAAATTATGATGTTTGATTGTTATAAAGTATTTAACGAGAAGTCCGAATATGTAATTATATTGACCTGTGACCTCGG